TATTTTTTTTTGCACAATATTGTTTGATGAAGAATATTTTTAACTTCTTTCTGTTATTACTGTATGTGACTTTTAATTAAAATGTTGGTACTTCATTTCATAGTATCTATACAGATCGAGACGAATCGGATCATAGGGTGAATCGAATCAATATAATCCATTTTCGTGTATTGGTATTTTCACACCAATTTGGCAATTGTATGTCCGAAGACATTATAATTACATCCGTTTTGCTAAGGTGACCAGATTTCCCAGTCCTGAATTCGGGACACTTCATAAATGTGTGAAGCGGGGAGAGGGGGATAAAAAGATCTGAAAATTACTTGACAATCATTGAAAATAATGACAAACCGGCGTCCCGAATAGCACTCGAAAAAACTCGGGACAAAGGGTAAAAAATCGGGACGTCTGGTCATCTTAGCCGTATGTGTCGAAAAGGGAGGAGATTACTCCGTAATAATGTACTTACGATATGTTCTGCACGTCGTTATTTTCGGCACTCTAATACTTATTTCCGCAGGAGACTCACAGAACACAAACGAAAGACGTATGGAATACGGAGCGTTGTGTCCATGGCAGTTGCTCGGCATGAAAAGATCGCGGACGCGCTGTCAATCACGTACACCAAAAGTTCATTAGCGCGCCGAAAGTGCCAAAAGTACATGAATGTGAACGCGCCAGTGATGCAAACGAGGTCGCGCGTCTACAACGACGCGATCTGTACGGCGGACGCCTTAACCACTTGCTCGAGTTACTAACCGCTCTAGACCAATCGCGTTCGTTTCGCATTACAAGGTTGTCATCGTGGTTGTTCAATCTAAGCGTTGGTAATGAATCACGCGAAATGCTCGATCTTTTCGCGCCAAGCAGCAGCCATGAGCACACATCGATCCATATCGCTTCGCGTTTCTCGTGTCTTTCATCCGTCGAAAAAATGAGTCTCGCGCGTTAATAAGTCTCGGGAGTGTCGAGAATAGTGATGTGCGATCGCTGTGGCGTATCGTGAAGACGTCATTTGTAAGTAATCTTCTCGTTTCTTTTCGCGGAATATGCGGCCGGTGCTTGTCGCGATGTGTCGCGCCGACGTCCCTTATATTTGCTAAAAACATCGACTCGCTCAAGTAGCAATAGAATCGGGCGATCGTCGGATTTATTGAACGGGAATTAGAAATGCGATGACAATCAGAGAGAAAGAGGGAGAAAGATGCGGAATATTCGGGCGGTTGCGTCAGCTTGTTAGGAAAAGAGATACGGAGAGAGAAGTATCTTATAGAGCGCGTTCTTTTCGGCCGCGGCGCCGTTCATGTATTGGCATATATTTTCAGCGCGATTTAACAATCGCGCGACCATCTTGATTCTCGATCTTTCTGCATCGAGCAACCGCCGTGGACAACACATCGATCGACATCGCTCCTCATTTTACGCGTCTTTAACCCGTCGAAACTAAGTCTCGCGCGGAAATAAGTATCGGGAGTATCGAGAATAGCGATGTGCGATCGCCGGAACGTATCGTGAAGACGTTATTTGTAAATAATCTTTTCGTTTTCTCCTCGCGGCATATGTAAAATGATTTCCCAGCCCTGAATTCACTTCATAAATGTGTAAAGTGGGGGGAGGGGGGTAAAAAGATCCGAAAATTATTTGACAATCATTGAAAATGATGACAAATCGGTGTCCCGAATAGCATTTGAAACAATTTGGGAAAAATTTGGGACAAAGGGTAAAAAATCGGGACGTGTGGTTACCTTAGTTTTGCACAAAGTGTAAAAGTTCAAAATCTCTCCTGATCTAATGGGAAGGGCACAGTTCACTCCTGCAGCTATGAATATAATTTACTGTCAGGTTTCTAAATTTTGTAATCTCCACTGTTCTACACAATCAAAGTGTCCATTTTAATTAGTGGGAGATTAAAGCGCCGAGCAGTTAAACTGGAATTGTTATTTTTGCATTAGCATGTCGAGATATCCCTAAATTATCCTTTACTAATTCCATTGTTCTCTGCGCGGGTGGGTATGCGTTCTCGTATAAAACACATATTTTACTTATAATATAAATTTAAAGGGCCGTACTTTACATCGGAATATTAAATTTCCACGATTTTCACTTCTCACAAAGGGTAAAAGAAATTTCCAAAAATTATAACAGATATATGAAGTTAATGTAGGACGAATGAGTCAATTCGTGCCTGCATGGGCGTGAACGACGATGTACGTATGCAGTCGGGTGCAACGCGTCCCCTCAATCCGATTATTAGCGACTCGAGCATATAATACTACGGCACAACGTCTAATATAGTGAAAAATTACATACGCAACAGTTGATAGCGACCCAACGACGTCCGGTGTCGGGTGTCTGAAGCGTGTTTAAGATCGACGTGTCGCGGACACGTCGGGAGTTTTCAAGGGCGAGTATCCATTATGAGACGGGCTATTTCCGCGATCTCTCTGCGTGAACCGCCGAGATAAGGAACGCTGTGATCAGCAGGGTGAGAGTTTTTGCACGTCAAAATATCGGGCTTATCTAAATGAGAGCGCGGTTAACGGGAGATGAGTAAGATTGCATTACGTTCTCCATCTTCGTTCCCTCTTACCGCGGCTATTTAGTCCCGTCGTCACACTATCCACGTGTAAATCTTATGTACGCGCGTTACATAGCGTAGCGCGTTACAAAGCACTTGAGGAAAGACCTAAAAATGCGTCGGCGAGACAAAAGGAATTGCGCAGCCGTTAATCCCAGGGAAACTTCGCAACATGTTCCAGGGAAAAAGGCTCGCTGGGACTTTCGCGTGAATTATATCGCGGATCCCGATGAGAGGAGCGAGATTGCGATCTGATCTGTCAGACGGGCAGAATTTACACGAACGTGTCTTCATCGCGCGGACATATCTATTGCCAAATGGCGCGCGAAAGTCGACTTTCACGCGAAGTTGCTCGAGTAACTTGTAAACTTTTCGCGGAAAAACGAGGAGACGCGCGTCGAAGTGGCGTCACTTCGAAACGGATGGAATATATACAGAGGATTGTTTAGAAAGTTTAGAATGGATTTTCAGGGACATGTCAAAATTAATATTTTATTTTTTACTGTGTAGAATGATATTTTCGACGTGCAACCGGCGGATGTTGCTAAATCTTGCCGTTTGCGACTCCCTTCCCTCCTTCCCCCTTTCTCTTCCCTTCTCTCTATCCGTAGAAATCGCTCTATTAAATTTTCATCAATAGCAACATCGCGTGTTCCTTTCGTATTCCGGCATCTTCTGATGCAGGCATGCGAGCGAGCAAGCGAACGAACTTTGAATTGCAGACGTATCCGATGATCCCCGCGGACCAGTTAGAGAATAGAGTCGGCGGTGTTTCTCTAGTTGGCGGGAGAGAGAGAGAGAGAGACTCTGTGTGTAAATAAAGTTCCGACTGATCGATATTTGACGGAGGTAACAAATGGATCGAGCGCAACGAGTGTTTCTCGTTAAGGATTTATGACGCGGGAACTTTTCTTCCCGCTCATGAATCACAATTATAAATCGGGCGAAAGGGGCACGTCGGGGCGCGCTCACTCGATCTAC